CGCTGCGCCCGCCCTTTGGGGACCCTGCAGCCTCCTTGGGGCGCCAGGAGCCAAGGCGCCCTGCCTCCCTCGACCTTTAGGGTCAAATCCAGCCCCTTCGTTTGGGGGTCACTTTTCTCGTTCCTATCCGGGGGAGCCCTGGTGCTTGCTGGCTTTGACGAACCCTGCTTCCCTGGCATGTGGAGCATTGCTTGGGGAGCAGTCTGGCTGCTGCGTTTGGGGGTGCTCTGCCTCCATCCCATTCTGAGAGGGCGGGGTCTCCTGGTGTGAGATGGGCTCACTCCCACTCCCCCTTATTTGGGGGAGGAGGGAGCCCCAGGGAGCGCCTGTGATGGTTCTGCTGCTGGTGGTCTCTTACAGGACCTACCCTCGGCCGCATGAGTACCTGTCCCCATCGGACCTGCCCAAGAGCTGGGACTGGCGCAACGTGAACGGTGTCAACTACGCCAGCATCACCAGGAACCAGCACATCCCCCAGTACTGCGGCTCCTGCTGGGCCCACGGCAGTACCAGCGCCATGGCGGGTAGGTGGGGTCCACAGACCGGACTAGGGGCCAGGAAGCCCTGTGCCGACCGGTCCCTGTCAGCACAGGCGGCCGCAGCCCAGGGTCCCCCGGCCCTTGTGAGTCCGCGCCAGGGTCCAGCCTGGGAAGGGGGGTGTCCGAGCCTCAGACCTGGGGACCCGACCTGTGCCCCCTGCCGCCCTTCCCTGTGGAGGAAGGCCGAAGTGGCACAGACTGGCTCGTGTCTCTGCTGGCAGGGCCGGCCTGTCCAGGGCCAGTGGGACTGGAGCCCAGTGACAAGTGGCTTCCAGGTGCCTTCTTCCTCCCAATGTGTGTGACCCCGGCCATTGGGATTGAACGAGAAATTCAAGCTCACCCAACCCGCCTTCGGTGACGGGGGCCTTGGGGGCGGAAGTCGCGTTTCAGGTGGTTGCCTGCCCTGGTCGTCGAGCATCGAGCCAGGCCGGCCCGTTCCTCACCTGGACCGTCTGCCCAGTGAGGAAGGAGGGGCGCCAAGGGGAGGCGGCGGGGCCTGGCCCGGGAGACCGCACGCCAGCCTCGGGCCTCCGTTCAGCCCCAGGCCCGCCTGGCAGTGGTGTGGAGGGACTGCCATCTCCAGGCACACCAGAAGTCCCCTGGAGACGGGACTTTCCCCCTGGGAAGCTGGCCCCCGGAAGGCTGGGGCACTGCCACCTCCCTGACTCGGGGAGCTCACTAGGCAGGCCTGCCGTAACAGTGGCATCTGGCGGGGTCTCCCTGGTGGCCCTGCCCCATCTCTTTCGGGGACTGATGAGGGCTGGAGTGTACACCTGAACCTTCCAGAAGGCGGAGGAAGGGAGCGGGGAGGCCGAGGCCCCTTTGGAAGGTGCAGGGAGCCACGAGGCCTGGAGATGGACAGGGCTGGGGCTCAGCCGCTGGAGCCACTGGGACACGAGGGGCCAGGCAGGCAGACAGGGTGTGGGCCGCCAAGAGACCGAAGGTCAGAGCAGCAGCGGGGGTGGTGACGTGAGGAAGTGAAAGCAGGCCGGTGTGGGGGCGGGGCGGGGGCTGCTGAGAGGGCCGCCAGGGGCCCTGCCCCAGGAAGTCTGGAAGGGCTTAGGGAGGGAGTCACGCGCCAAGATTTGCATTCAGGAAGTCTGCTGGGCGGGGAAGGCGGCCTCGGTGGGCCTGCGCTGGTCCCTTTGCAGACAGGTCGGCGGTGCCAGGGTTCTGGAGCGGAGATTCGGGTGGGAGTTTCCACCCTAGGCGCACGGCCGCTTCTCTCTCTCTCTCTTCAAACCTTAGCATTTTCTCCAGCGATAGGGCCCTCCTTCCTCTTTCACTGAGAAAATAGAAGCCCCCAGAAGGAGACTTCCACAGGTGCCTGACCCAGCTGCCACCTGACGCAGCTGGCTGTAGCTTGCCTTCCCTCCTGTCCGGGGCCGCGAGCATCAGCCCTTCGCGAGGCCCCTCCTCCCTGTGCTCAGCCTTGGCCACCAGGGAGACGAGCGGGGGGCTTGACTCCACCCGCCTCCAGCCACCACCCTCTTCTGGACTCCCCAAGAGGAGCCTGCAGACCCCGCTTCCTCTTCTCCATTTTCGAACCCACTCCACGGGCATCGTTCTTGCCAAGGTCACGGGCAAGGGGCCGCCATGCAGTCGGCCCCCGGGCCTCTCCCTCCTGTGCTCGATCACTTCTCCTCGTAACGCCTTTCTCGCCTTTCAGCATGCACCCCGATCTCCTGCCCCCTCACGGCTCCCCATCCAACCTCACTAATGAATGTCGGGTTCCCCAGGACTGAGTCCTTGGCTGCACCCCTTCACCTGAACCCCAGCTTTACACCCAGCTGCCCACTCTCTCTCGCTTGGACACTTGACCCCTCCAACCTCAAAGGTTCAGATCTGAACAGCTCGTCCTTCCTACCATCACCCTCACACCTGTCGACATGGGAAACTTCCAGACTGGGAGAGAATTTTTTTCTAAGAGTTTATTTGAGCCAAATGGGAAGACAGTTACAAGGAGGCAAGTCTCAGATGCTCCGGAGAATGACAGTGGGAACCGATGGGACATCAGTCAGATGACACTGAGGAGGCAGAAAACCAGGCGGGGTTGGGATTACAGGACAGTTGACAAGGTCGGGGCTCTCGTGAGGGTGGTTTCTCTTGCGGGGTCGGGATGAGCGGCATTTCAAAGGCGCATCAGCCCGGATGGGATGCACGAGGACGGAGCACAGGGCTGGCTTCAGGCAAAGTTAAACCTTCTATGTGCCTGGAGCGTGACCAGCCACCATCACCTACCCGGATAGGAATTTATGATCAGGTCGCCCCGTGAGGTTACTTTCCGTAGAACCCCATTTTCCTCCACACCCCCAAACCCCATTCTTCTCCGTCCCTTCCCGGCTCGTTCAATGAAAATGTCGCACTTCCAGTCGCTCGGGCTAAAAAGCCCAGAGTCACACCTGATGTATTTCATACCATTTCATATCCCTCACACAGTCCTGTGACAAATCTTGCCGGTCTGTCTTCAGAATACCTTGTAAACTCCTCTGCTTCTCGCCACCTGCACCGCGGCACCTGGCCTGAACCCCGCCCCGCACCTGGCCTTGTCCCGCAGCTGCTGGACTGGCCTCCCTGCCGCCCCCTCGCCTCCCTGCCGGCTGGTCACAAACAGCTAGACTGAGCCTGTTCAAACCCAGGTCAGATCACGTTTCTGTTCTGCTTGAAACCCTCTAAGATTTCATGCAGATAAAACACAAAACCCTTCCTTGACCTGCCAGAGCCCGCGTAAGCTGCTGCCTGTTTGGTGTTGAGACCCAGTGTGGATGCCAAGGGCTAGAGCACAGGTTTTGCCTTCTCAGGCCAGGCACCTGCTCTCCCAGACCCTCTCCCATGGGCGCCACCCCGGTGAGGTCATTGGCCCCCCCGATACGATGCTCCCCCAGTTCTCTCCTCGTTTTCCTCGAAGCACCGCACGCCTCACGCTTCCACGCCGACACCTGTTTCCTGTCTCATCTCTCCCCGCACTTGGACCTCGTGAGGCGGGAGGGGAGGAGCGGGTCGCGGAGCAGGCTGCCGAGGGCTGGCTGCTCCCTGTAATCAGGGACGGCATGGGCGAGGCTGCGGTGATTTCCGACCTGGGGGGCGAAGCACGAGAGGAGGCTGAGATCACCTTGGGCCAGCGAGAAGTGAGCTGATGGGGAGCGAGGGGGAGACGGCGGCCGGGCCTGGGTCGCTGTGGGATTCTTTATGCACGGAGAGGGGAGCGGATCAGGGGGCCCCGGGTGGGCGCGGTGGCCGTCTGCAGCTATCCGTGGCCTCTGGCTGGCTGCTCAGAGCCCTCCCTCTGTGACCGCCAGTGCCCACGGGGTTGGGTCCGTGCCAGCCTTGCCCACGGGGTCTCGGCCTTCCGGCTTGCTGATGGGGGGCCCCGGGCTGCACTTGCCCGTGGAGGTGCCCTCCGGGGTCTTTGTTCCTGCCTCTTCCAGCTCTTCAGCAGGCACTCGTGGGACTGCCGTAGCGTGACAGGACGGGGTGGCCCTGCCCGCCTGGCGCTTACAGGCGGGTGGCGCAGGCACATGTGCCAGGGCCTGCGAAGGGCGGGCGCGCTGACCGGGGTGCTGCCTTGCAGACCGGATCAACATCAAGAGGAAGGGGGCGTGGCCGTCCACGCTGCTGTCCGTGCAGCACGTCATCGACTGCGGCGAGGCCGGCTCCTGTGAGGGGGGCAACGACCTGGAGGTGTGGGAGTACGCCAACAGGCACGGCATCCCTGACGAGACCTGCAACAACTACCAGGCCAAGGACCAGGGTAGGCCCCGCCCCGCCCCCGCCGCCCGGGAGAGTGTGGCTGAGCCCGGCTATCCCGTGCCTCACACGCTGGTCTGGGCTCCGGGGGAGGCGTGGGCCCTGTGGGTCTGGAGGAGCAGGAAGCGGAGCCCGCAGTCCTTGTCGAGAATGGCAGTAGGGAGGCCTGGGGAGGAGTGTCTCCAGCCTTGTGTCCCTGTGGCCAGCGCTGGCCGTGGTTTCGGGTTCCGACATGTTGGCACCTTGGTGGTTTTCGAGGGCCTTTGTAAGAGAGGCACAGGTGACCGTTGTCCACGAGGCACAGGTGACCGTTGTTTGGGGGAGAGTAAGTTTTCCAGGAGCTGGGGGTGGGAGAGGTTAGGCCGGCTGCTCCCTGAACTGGAAGCAAGGAGGCCCGGTGGCAGAAGGTGGCATTGGCCTGGCTCCCGCCCCGCAGCCCTGGGCCGCATGCATTCAGGTGGTCTGGAGCCAGGGGGCCGCTGATGGACCAGCACACGCAAGCTGGCCTGGAACCCCTGGAGTTGGCACGTTCCTTTCAGGCTTTTCCCCTCTGGGACAAAGGAAAGAAAATGTCCAACCCCAAACCCATAATTGGCAGGTTTAAGTCACCTGTCTGTCAGAGCTCCCTGTAGCTGGAGCAGAGAGCTTGGATGATTTTGAGACTGGACGGGGCTGAGGGGGGAGCCCGGGTGCCCACCCCCCCATCTGTAAGGGTTAGCCCAGCCCCCTGAGGCCCACAGCATCCTCCAGGCACCATCCCAGCCAGGCCCTCTTGGGCCCTATCTCCTAGCCAGAAAGAATCTCCCCAGACTGGTTGGGTGAGTCTTGTTGAAGAGGCAAATGGAGCAAGGGTCAGAACCGGAGAGAGGGACAGAGGAACAGATGCAGGGGATGAGGGAGTGACCGCCAGGAAGCAGGAATCAGGTGGTCCCGGAGCTGGTCTCCTCCAGCCTGGGCCAGGCCCTCTCACCGCCGTGACGGGGCAGATGGAGCTCCGCAGGGTCCCGACTGTTTGCAATAAATAGTCTGGTCTTTGTATTAGCAAATGTGGCCACGGATCCAGCACTTTCCAGTACTGGGCACTGGGCATTTGTTGGCCAAAGAACACATCAAAGCAACAATTTAATCTTCAAGGAGTTTGGTGTCCCGGAGGAGGAATTTGGACAGACAGGGAACTGTAACAGCCAGGTGGGCAGCAGGAAGCCGTGGACAGGCAGGTGGAGGGTCTGCTGGAGCGCAGCCGATGGGGCGTGTGGGGTCTCACAGAACTAAGGGCTGCATTTTGTTCTGCTTTATCCTAATTCTTGATACCACCTCAAACCAAAGTAATTAGAAAATGCTATTTTTTTCCAAACAATTAGCCTGTTCACTAGCCAGCAATAAACTGTCTTATTAAGAGCTAATAATTTAATCACACTGTTTTCAGCTGTAGGGTATTGTGAAGGGCCCCTCCTCCAGGCCCTTTCGGGAGGAAAGGTTCTCTCCTGAGTGCCCACTATGCACAGTTACTGCCTACTATGCGCAGTTACCACATCCTCTCTCTTTGCCCGGCCCGGGGAGGGCTGCTGGAAGAAGGCGTGATCACCTGCTGGCAAGATGGTTTCCATTGTTAGCCCAAGCGAGCGGAGTGAGGAGTGGGTCTGGGTGTGCCTCTGCTCACAGGCTAATGAGAAAGTCGTCTCCTGCTGCCTTTCCATGCAACCCCCCCAGAGTGTGACAAGTTTAACCAGTGTGGGACATGCACCGAGTTCAAGGAGTGCCGTGCCATCCAGAACTACACCCTCTGGAGGGTGGGCGACTACGGCACCCTGTCGGGGAGGGAGAAGATGATGGCGGAGATCTACGCCAATGGCCCCATCAGGTGAGGGCCTCGCCGCGGCCGTGCGGACCGCTGTCCCCGCCGCACGTCCCCTCTGGCCAACTTCGCTCTGTGGGCTCGAGACGCAGCTGCCCGTGAACTGGCCAGTGGGTCCCTCAGGGTGGTCGTGAGTGGAGGACGCAGGGCTGTGGGCACACGGGGACTGGCCACCAAGGGAGGAACGACTCAGGCTTAGGCAGGATCACCTGGCGTGCGTGATCGGACTGGGGTTCACACAGCTGGTTCCACTGAAAGCGCCACTTCTCCACCCGCTCACCCGCAGCTGCGGGATCATGGCGACGGAGAAGATGGTCGCCTACATGGGCGGCATCTACGCGGAATACCAGGACAAGGCCTACATCAACCACATCGTTTCCGTGGCCGGCTGGGGCGTCAGCGAGGGCACCGAGTACTGGATTGTCCGCAATTCGTGGGGTGAACCGTGGGTAAGCCGTTTCCGCTGCTCTCGTCGGTGGCTCTACTGGCTTCGCAGCTGTGTCATAGTGTTTAGCAGCCTCCCTGGCCCCGATCCACCGGATGCCAACCGTTCCTTCCCTGTCCCCTAGTTGTGACAACCAAAAACGTCTCCAGACGCTGCCAGCCGTCCCAGGCAGGAATCGCGCTGGTGGGGAGACGCCGCTTCCGTCGTGTTTATAGTTTACTCCCCTGCAGCCCTCTCGTTCCTTTCCTGTCATGGTTTCAGCTTTGCTAAGTAATACTGTGGAATTTTTTTCAAAAATACTTGTGAGTTGGGTCAAAAATCCAGGGGAGGTCAACTGCCAAAACTTTCATTTGAGACCTAGTGTGAACCATCAACAGCGTGAGACATGAAATTCATTCTGATGAAATGGGGGGCAGTGACTAATGTAGAAGTGATGAAATGCCCATTTTTAAATGACTGCAAATGGAGATTTGACTGGGAAGCTGTCATCTGGCCGGGAGTCCCCATTTCTGTTAACTAGCTGCGGCATGCAGGCCCAGCACCTCCTGTCAAACATTGACCTCTACGTTCACAGCGGGCGTTTCCAGCCGGGTCCCGGGGAGGGGAGGGGGCGAGCAGCTGGTGTGGAGCTGCACACACCCCACGCGGGGTCTCAGAGACAGGGGCGCAGGGAGAACTGGGAGGCCGCGGGCCGAGTGGCGAGCTAACACGCTCCTTCCCCCAGGGCGAGCGAGGCTGGATGCGGCTCGTGACCAGCGCCTACAAAGGTGGGAAGGGTGCCGATTACAACCTCGCGATCGAGGAGACCTGCGCGTTTGGGGACCCCATCGTCTAGAAGAGCAGTTTAAGACACGATACCACGAGCCGTCAGAGGGGATCGTGTCGTCGCGGGCACAGGGTTGGCACCACCACAGCTTGAAGGAACTGGGGGCTGACAAATTAAAGTGGCATCTAGTGACTGCTAAGGGCACAGCACACCTGGACCGTGCAGACGGCTGCGGTCCTGGCTGACCACTCCCCACAGGGGAGTGGAACGCGGGGTGACGTGCACAGCTGGCACAGGATGGTACCCCGGCCTGGTGACCGCAGGGAACCATCCACCTGTCGAGGAAGTGATCCACAAGACAATGAGTTACGTGACCTCCATTTTCTTCAGTTGATAGTCTGGTGTTTTCCACGTGGCAGCGCGTGGCAGCTGTGCTCTGTAATGTAGTATTTATCACCAATTCTTTTGTCACCTTGGAATCGGGGGTGGAAGGGGAGACGACGATTTCAGATCGCCCGAGTGATAAATAAAACACAACTTCACACAAGAACTGAGCCTGAGTGTGCCTGTTTACACGTGAGAACACCACCACCAAGATCTACACCTTCCAACCCATTAGAAAGGCTTTTATCTGTTCTTGGAAAATTAAAACAATTACAATAAAATAACAACTAATCAGGTACTTGTGCGAAAACGTAAGTCGACTCTGAAAGTAGTTCATTCAAGTGCCTCGCCACCCGTGGTGCTGACAGTTGGCCCCACCCACAGAGGCACTGTGAGCCACCCTGGGTCCCTGTGTCCGGGGAGGCACGCTGTGGACAGCCCACAGAAGGCAAGGGCGCTGTCCTAACATCCGTCACTGATGCGGCAGCTTCCGGCCGAGCGCGGTTATCCTCCTCCTCCCCGGGGGGCACGTTTCCAAGATGCTGGCTGAGCTGCTTGTTTCTGAAAATGGTTTTTCCACAACTGGTCTAGAATGTTCTGCTCCAGCCCTGGACAGTGCTCTGAATCAGTTCACCAGGATGAAGTTAGACTTGCAGTGAGCTACAGGAAACAGCATAAATCACAGGGTTAGAAACGGGGTGAGAACATCACGCTTAAAACTGCAGCAGAGGGACGGACACCCAGTCGCCCACCTATGAACTCCGTGAGAACATCACGCTTAAAACTGCAGCAGAGGGACACCCAGTCGCCCACCTATGAACTCTGTCACGGGATCGTGCTCGCCTTCTGTCTTGATGGTGCCTGCGATGCTGTCATTCTCCAGGATGGGGAGGAAAAGCTGCACAAAGTCGGAGGTGTATGGAGGGGCTACGACGTCCAGCACCTGCGGGAGGGAGCGGGGTCACTCCTCCCCGCAGCCCGCGGGCCACGCGTGGCGCACAGGGCGGAGAAAACTGCCCTCCCCTCCCTGCTTCTTGCTTCCTGTTGCCACAGCGGTCTCCACGGTTAAGACACCCGGTGGTGGCCTAGGTAAAACATACTACGCTGCCTGCATGCAGGTGCCGGGAAAATTGCTATGTCTCCGTCATCAGCACGATTATCAGAAAGCATAGTTCTCAGAGTTAGGTGCAGTACGAACTAAATGAAGCCAGAAAGGGCCCTGCCAGTGTCAACAGTATGAAAGGGGAAACGAACGGGGGGTTGCTGACCTCGGTCACAAAATAGCGAATGAGTGAAATGTCAGTGTCCAGCTTCTCCAGACACTTTCGGATGTAACTGACCACAGGAAGTACATAACCTCGACTCAGCAGGTGCACCATCCTGTCCAGCAGGGTCTTCTTCAACTCAAGCTGCCAGAGTGCAGGCAGAGAGGTCCGTTAAAATGGGCCCTCCCCAGGCGGCACGACAGACCCGAGGGCCACCCGCTCACCTGCTCCATCACGTCCAGCTGGGAATGCTCCGTCTCAAAGAGCTTAACAAGCAGCTGTAGGACCTGGGGGTGCAGGAGCTGGTGGCAGGTGCTGATCTATAAAGACCAAAGGGAGCCCGGCTGAGCAATATGCTTGGGTGTCTGGGCTCACCATCAGCGCACAGCCGCCATCACCGTCACAGCTGCCAGCCTCTGGGCCATCCCTCAACCTCTCAGGGCACTTTATAAAAACCAAGTTGTCTACAGAGTCAACGGAACTGGTTCCTTAGAAGGAAAACGCTTGTTGAGGACAGGAAGAGCTAGCTCGAGAAGAACATCCGAGCTCACTGAACAGAAGCGCTGGCGATACCAGCACACGCGGCGCCAGGCACAGCGTGGCGGGCCCTCCGATGCCGTGGCTCCGTCCGGCATCGTGTTCCTCCGCTGGCGGGAGGCTGCGAGGCCACAGGGACCTAACTCCTACGGCAGTCGGCGCTCTCACCGTACACCGCCTCGACATGCAGAACCTATCGCTACCGTAAGGGAGGCTACCCACGTGCTGGAAAGGGCCCCGCAGCCCCTACCTCGTCCAGCAACGCGAGGTGGACCGGGGTGTGGTCGGTCTGCAGCTGGAAGTACCTTGGCTCTGACACAGTCCAATCCACCCACTTCAGCACCCCCATCGCTACCACTGGAAACCTGCAGGTAAAGAAGGCAGATGGCTTCCTTTAAACAAAGCTTTTAAAAAACCAAACACCAAAACAGAAACGTTTAAAGAACAAACCCAGTCTATCCCATTAATTCACCCTTCCACATGCCCTGCCAGGGAGGCACTCACTGGTGCCAACAGCCTGATGAGCCCCGCGTCCTCCCAGAGTGCACTGCGAGAACCACCCTCACTCAGTTCCCGGCTTGCTCTGAACCACTGCCCTGGCTTAAGAGGAAAAGGGCATCCATGCAAAATGCTCCGTGAGCCCGGCGGACTGGCTTGAAGTGTCCTATCATCCAGAAAACCCTTTCCTTGTCCCCAGTACAAATTACCAGGGGAGAGTCAAATGCCCAAGGGAATGCCCTATTTGTAAGCTTTCCCTAGTGGATTCTCATTTACATAACTGGCATAACCGCAAATCATTCTACGTAAGCAATACTTTGCTGGTCTGACTCTTACTGTAAATAGACCCTTTCCTTCAAATCAATTTTTCTAATTTTGGTTGGTCTTCCTTTTTCTTAGTCTGATTTGTGAAGAGATTTCTGCCAAGTAACACCTAAAAACTATACTGTTGAAACAGTTTACGGTTCTCTAAATACGTTCAAAAAAGGAAAAAAAAAAAAGTATTTCTGCATGGTTTTTTTTTTGAGCTTTTAATATGAAAATGCAAGCTACCTCCTCCCGGAAGGATGAGGGTTAGAAGCGAGCGCCGCTCCGCTCACCTGATGCACTGGTACAGTGTGCTCAGCTCGGCCACCAGTTCGGAGGCCCCTTTGTTCTCATTGCAACACAAGTTGTGAACAGTTTCAACAGCTTTCGACGTGGACTTCAGCTCGTCTTTGTTGATGCTCACTCGCTTGTTCTAAGCACACACACACACACACACGCTGGTGAGGTCGGGGTCACCTGGTGCTGGCGGCTTCTCTCTGCAAACCCCCTCCCTGTCTCGAAGGTCAGCAGTCAAGTTAACTGCCACGTTCTGTACTCATACAGGACACGGAAACGGAAAGCCAAGCAGGAGGCATCTGTGGCTCAGGGGACTCAGTCTTGTTCCTTTAGTCAAACTGGATGCTACGCACACTTCCCTGAGACACTGAGCACTGACTGTTTTCTGGGTAACACTAAAAAGACATTTCTGACAGAGGATGGGCTCATGATTTCTCGCAGACAAAATTCCCAAGTAATGCCAAAGAGAGGAGGGGGTGACTCGTCCCCCACGGGGTCCAGGAACCCACAGAGCTGACGGTACCTTCTTCCAGGTCTCCACCACGCTCGCGGCGTACGCCAGGATGTGGATGTACTTGTGCTTGTGGTCCTGGTTGATCCGGGCCCCGGGTTTGAAGAGCGACTGCATGAACAGGTCCAGGAAGGCGGGCCCCCGGATCTGAGGAGACACACAGCCCGCCAGACAGGAAGGCAGCGAGATGGCAGGGAGGCCCTCACACGAGGGGCTGAGGGAGTGCCGCCCACACCCGTCCCGCCCCAACATGCACAGACCCCGTGGGTGACGGGCAAGGGCCCAGAAGGGGACAGAAACGTTTCAGTGGGAATCCGCCCTCGCTGACTTTAGAGAATTAAGAGAAACACAGACTTTCTAAAATAACCCTTCCGATTGGCACTGGGGATGCACCATCTTATTCTAAAAATGAAAGGCAACCTACGAGTTCAACAGGAGGTGGGTCCATGCTGGTAAACATCTTGAACAGGACTGTGATGTCGGCCGGGTTCAAGGCCCCTTTGGACAACATAGCCCCAAGGGCCTGACAGGCTCTGGGGTAGGAGGCAGCTGTGCCCAACGCTAGCGTGATCTGGCTGGCATCGTGGCCTCTTGATGAAAAACAAACCACACATCCCGTAGTTGGCAAGGTGGGATATAACGTTAGTAACCCCCCCTTCCTCTTTCCTTCCTCCCTTTTCCCACATTTAATGCTTTGCGTTGTCGGGATTTGTTTTTTCAGATGTCTGTCACTCGATGGTACAGTGACTGGCCCATGATAACAACACTGGAGCTAAGTGGGAAAGAAGGGATCAAATACAGCTCACAGGCTAAGACTCCATTAGCAAAACTAAGGACGACAGCAGCTAATTCTGTTCGGAGACGAACACGACACAGCAGACTGCGAGTTCGGGACCTGCTGCTGTCTGCCAGCGACGAACCCCCGTATGTGAAAGCACGCGTTCACCGATCCCGTGAGTGGGGCAATCACCGCGCACTTAACACACTCATCAGGGCGATGCTTGAGCTCTCTCTGTGCATTTAGAACCACTGGGCTGCGGGCGGCCTCCCTAGGTGTCAAGTAAGAGGACCCAGTCCCCATGTGGAGGCGGGGCACCGGGGCTGGCGGGGGACACACGGCGAGGGGGCGGTGAGCACGACACTGCCTCTCACTTCTCCTGGGCGAAGCGCTGAACCTCCTGAGCGATCCTGCGCACGGCGGAGCCACCCTGCTCTTCCTGGGCCAACACGGACATCATGGCCTGGGCGAACAGGTACGTGTGCTCGCCATGGCACACCATCTTCTGAAAAGGTGCAGGGGGAGTTTGGGGTTCAGGATGGCACAATGACAACGCAGAGAAGAGTCGGACGTGAGCAGCACCCCCCACACGAAGCTCCGGTCTTGGAAGGAGCCCTGCAACCAGCGCATTCTCTGAAGGCAAGGGGTGTCTCCTGTTTGCAAATGCCCGACCCCAAATCCCCTCCTAATCTGAGACAGACAAAGAGCTTACGGCAAACTCGGGCAGATTTTTTTCAAGGTTTTCTTCTCCTCCATCCAGAATTGTAGCGAGGGAGGTACGAAGTACTCTGGAAAACACTTCCAACTGCTGGCAGGCCGTGGACACGCTGGTTATCTCTCCTTGGTACCCCGCGTCGGAAATGAGCTACGATATAAAAATAAGAAGCCCAACGAACTGTCAACAGTAGGGACCACACGTTTCATTGAAAGCGAGCTTGCTGTCAGTGTCTGTAGTGAGAAGCGACAAGCAAGCACTGGTCTCAGGTCTCGAACCTTTACTCCAACCCCTAACCAGGCGTGTAGCTCAGTGTCTGCGTGTGCAAGATGAAGGAGACAGACTAGGCATCCTCAAAGGCTCCTCTCGGGGCACAGTGGCCTCTATAAATACGTTCGTGCCAAATCCTAAACCACTGTCCATGTTGCTGCAGAAACAGATACGAATTCCGTGCTTTTCCTTCTCAATGTTAACACTGACTAAAGTGCCGCGACGAAGGCCTTTACCAGAAACGTAACTATGATCTTTCAGAAGAAAACGCCACCCCACCCAACCCCGAATCACCCTCGCTCATACACACTTCCACCTCGCCCGACCCTGGCACGCCTCCTACCTTAACGGTGAAGTTGAGCATCAGACAATCTGGATGGGCTTCAGCCAGCTTGTAAAAGAGATCTCTCCACGTGGTATGTGCGATCATTTGTTCAAGCCACGCCGGGGTCTGCCAACACACAAGCAAAGGGCGAGGTGAGGGGCCCAGCTGTAGCTTCGGTGAAGATTCTGTTGCATAAACAGTCACAGGACGCTCTAGCTGAAACAGTGCCGCCACCCTAAGTGTCCCAGAGCTAATGATGCCACACGGGCAGCGGCTGGCAGAGCTGGAGCCCTGAGCGCCCCCTCACAGCTTCTGGAAGATCCAATGCCACACGAAAGCACGCCGAAAGGCGCCTGCTGGAGACACTGAGAGTCTCGTCCAGCGGAGCCACGTCACACGCACAACTAACTCATGCTAAATCAGCTGCGTGCCCTGGGCACGTGGAGAAAAAGGCAGCGGACACAGCACGGCTAGCTTTGCCCGGCGCCACGCGGAGTGGCCATGAACACGTGCCTCAGCTCTCATACCGTGTGGCTGACGGACCCAGGGCCACCCTCGGACTCCGCCATCCATTCATGCCAAGGCCGGGCTCCCCACAGGCTGCCCCAGCCACCAGCTGAGGGTAGCTGGGCCCCTAAGGCAGATCAGTTCCTAGGGGACACAAGTGACTGTGGCTTGAAGACTCTGCGGAGACACTGCTGAAACTCTGAAAACTGCACTATGGTCTAAGACCTCCTACCCAACAATCCTCCCTTCCCTCTCGTCTTCGGGGTCAGACCTGCATCGGCGCCCCCCAGCCTCCTCTGGCCCCCACCCACCTTCCCTCCCAGGGCTGTCCTCCAGAACCTCCTGCACACCTAGTCCTGTCCTGGCATCTGCTTTTCGGAGACCCCGAATGAATATACCACACGACTCAAAGAGCCTGCACCTAGTCGGCGTGACAGGGGAGCTGTGGAGCTGCCGTCCCGTCCCCAAGTTCAGTGCCTGGGTGCCCCTCAGCGTGCCAGAGCTCGCTACACCGAGCACGCAATCTGTCCCACACCCTGACTCAGTCCCCAGCTCTACGGTACTCCCCTCACAGGCCGCACCCCAGTGCGCACACGAAATCAGCAAAAGACCCCAGCGACTGGTATTAGAAAAGAGAGAAGACTCCTCACCTCTCCTTCCTCCGTAAAAATAGAATCTGCTTTGCGGGGGTCAAAATGTTTGATCAACAGACTCTTCAAGTGATTTTCCACAGTCTCCTGGACCTGCAGTGGCTCAACACCTGGAAGAAATGGCACTCTCTCAACTTGTCGTTTCACTTTAGAAAAAGTAGACAGGTCGAAAGGCTGTCTGTGAATCCGCCATCACAGAACCGATTCCGACAATTTAGAATTTTGGACTCTTATAAAAATTAGTATTAACCACAGTCAATGGTAAGAATCAGCAAGAAGCACAAGGCAGAACACACGAGGACATTCTACCTTGCCAACGTGGAGAGGACAGCTAAGGACCAGGACAAACTACAAAACGGGCAGGTAGGAGGATGGAAAGACACACCCTTGCAGAGAAGGGAGCAGATGCCCGCCAAGAGACACTTGTACCTAATCACCGTGACAGCAGCGAATGGACTGGTTTCCGGACAGCACTTAATCAGTGATGTCATCTCGCCCGGTTCTGTGATTTACAGTAAGGCTCTGCTTTGATCATATTAGCCGAAAGCTATAATCAGACCCAGTCGTAAATTGTCCATCATTTGCTGCCTGCTATAACAGACCTCTTAAAAACGACACACTGAACATACACTCTATAATCCTATAATTCTACAGCATGGCAGGGAAACAGCTCAATGAGAATCACATTAGCAGCCTGTCTGTAAACCTCAGTTATTGAATCAAAGATAAAAACTGAGCAGACAGAGATGGGTAAGAAGTTCAGTTCTTTCTTACTTACGTCTTAAAAACCAGGAAAACAAAGAACCTTTCCAATTTATCAGCATTGTAATGATCGAAAGGTGTTTATTTTTGAAGGGGGAGAGGGGGTGGTGACCAGCTGGGACAGGGGCCACCCACACGGCACCTGTCTGAATGAGCCACTCAGCCAGCAGGTTGACGGTCTGGGCCACCGCAGTGTAGTTCTCTGACAAGAGCTGGATAACATTCTCAGGCGACCCTCCCGCCTGGAAATACCTAGAAGAAGGAACACAGCAGCTATTACACGAAAACGAACGCATACAGGCGTGGGATGGATGACAACAGGGAGGAGCGGAGGACACCAGGTCATGACGATTTTTAAAGTGTGGAGGGGCCCCTGGACAGCACCCCATCGTTCTCACTTTCGCATATCTCCTGGGCCTATTACAAAGCTTTCTCTCAGTCACCCCCACCCTCCTCCCAACGCAGAGAAGCGCCTCGCACACCTCTTCAGCGTGTTAAAGATGGACGGCTCCATGATGTAGTCGCGGGTGGAGAACTTGTGGAGGCATTCTTGCTGGACCTCCGCGTCGTCCTCTCCCTCTCCATAGTCTTCCTCCTGCTGTCGGTAGGTGCCGTGAGCCACGTAGTTTTTCATTAATACGAGTATCCTAGGATCTCACCTTAAATGTGTCGCACTGTCCCTTTGAGAAGTGCTCCGCATACATTATTTCACCCGACTTTCCTGAGGATCCCATGAAGTGAGCCGGACAAGTAATGAGTGGCTAAGACAAGGAATCGGGATCCAGAACCACACCGAGGGGGTTTGTATCACGACTCCGCCCTGGTGAACTTGTGTCCAGAGGTCATTTGAGTTCCCTCGTCTCTCTGGGTACCCGTTTCCTCCCTATTAAAGATAGTCACGGTACCCACCCTCATCTGGCGGTTGTGAGGGTTCCACGAGCTAACTTTTGGAAGAGCCAAGCACAGAGCCTGGCACTGAGCGAGGCTGCCACAGCTGCAGCTACTACTGTTTGCACTGTTTCATACGCGCCCTCTACCGCCTTCCGGCAAAGTCAGAAGCAGCGGTTCCTGAAGGCACAGCCATCACTCCGCTGTTGAGAAATAAAGATCACCAACTCGCTCCGCATCAGGCCTGGCTAGATTCCCAGTGCCGCACGGAAGCGCCCTCGAGCACGTTACTGAATCTCAGGACAAGGCAGGACGAGGATGCGATGACTATGGACTGAGTGACTCGCGGTCCGTCCAGCTTTAACACTGTCATCCTAAGTAACAAGCAGAAGCTTTACTGTGCACTGAGCACTCTGTTTAGGGAATCTAAGAATATATAAGACAAAATATGTCTTTTTCCACCAAAGGAGTTCACAAGCGGGGAGACCAAGCCCCACACAGCTGACTCTAACGTAACAGGGTGACAAGAATCAGCCAACTCTGGCTCTCCTCTTGTTTTTGTAAATAATCTTTTACTAGATTATTAGCTTTTTAACAAACCTAACATCCATGGCTGCCTTCCCTGTAACAGCAGAGCTCAGTTGGGACAGAGGCCTGTAGCACCTAAAGTACTCAGCTGGCCCTTTACAGAGAAGTGTCCACCCCCTGGTCCAGACCCATATGCCAAGAGCCAGCGCTCTGATGAGGCTGGACTCCTTCACTGGGGAGACTGGGGCGTCTTCTCTCAGACCACGTCTTCGTGGGGCCTGTCCTTGAACAGGCCGGACTTCACCCCAAGACTCCTCATCATATCTATATTCTTGGGCTCTTGGGCTCCTACCCTGGACCCTCCTCCTCTGTTCTACATCTTCTCCTGGGCCATGCCGCCCCCCTGCTCACAAACCAACCTCTCCCCCCATCACCCACCCCTCCTCCTCCAGACTCGTTTCCATGCAGCTGTCCCACCAGTATTCCAAACTCATCAGATCCGAAACTGGCCTTCTTCCCCTCGAAACAGAGCTCCCTACAAGCCATGTTTTAGTAAGAGCCCATCAAGTACCTGTTACCATTCTCCTGGGCCATGCCGCCCCCCTGCTCACAAACCAACCTCTCCCCCCATCACCCACCCCTCCTCCTCCAGACTCGTTTCCATGCAGCTGTCCCACCAGTATTCCAAACTCATCAGATCCGAAACTGGCCTTCTTCCCCTCGAAACAGAGCTCCCTACAAGCCATGTTTTAGTAAGAGCCCATCAAGTACCTGTTACCACAAACCTAAAAATCGAATTTCTCCTGGGCCATGCCGCCCCCCTGCTCACAAACCAACCTCTCCCCCCATCACCCACCCCTCCTCCTCCAGACTCGTTTCCATGTCGGTGTGGCCTTTCCTCCAATCTTCACCTCCACGGGTCCTAGTGTCATGCATGCTCACAGCAGCGACATCCCCTAATGGCACAGCCTCGTTCCTTCCTTCACACACAGGCCACGATGACCTTCATAAGCCACAAAACTGATGTCTCTCTCTTGCTTCGAGGTTCCTCCTTCCCTCAGAAAGACATCTAAACTCTGCATGACCTTAACCTTCCACCCGGTCACCTGGCAGGTCTCATCTCTGCCACTCCCACTGGCAACCTGCAGCTCTTAGCTTCCTCCACGTGGACCTGACACCACAGCGGCCTCCCAGCACATCTTTCTGCCTTCCACAATGCACCTGGCATGGCTTCAAGAGACCAGAATTTGGGTCACAAAACTTGGCCTAACACTCTCTCTCAAAATCCAGCTCCTGTCACCCGTCACCTTTCTTGACGTCCTCTCCCTCCCCCAAGCAGTCGGAATGAAGCTGAAAAGAACATCTGGTCCACCCCTGGCATCACTGAAGGCCTATCAGGGTCGGGGGGCTAAGCCGGGGGCTCCTCCGGACACGAGGGTCCCCATCCTCCTGACAGTGGGGTGGAGACCCGGCTCTGCCACCAACTGCATGAGCTACGGCACGGAAATGGAGGGTCCAATTTAAAAAATGTGAACAGTGGACTAGATGGCCTTTAATATGCCCTAGTTCTAACACCCTGTGACTCGACGGCTCGATGTGACAAGTACTATGACTTTGAAAGGATGCTTCAAACGCCAGCCCACTGCCAAGCTAAGTTTCTCTCATCTGGACCACCGGGGCGATGAGCGGTTTGATAAAGCGGCAATGGAGACAAAGGACCTGGGGACTACTAGCAAGTAACTGCGCCTGGCCCGACGTCAGGGGTCAGCGGGTCACCACGTGTCACGAGCCCGCCACTGGGGAAACTGAGGCCCCAGTGACAGCAGAGGCGCCGTGCCCGCCCCGCGGCGCTCCGGCCCGGCCTCCACCCCTACTAGTTTGTGAGTGCGGAAACGCAGGCCGGGAGGCCGCGTGCGTGACCCTCG